TTCTTTATTATTTGGATGATAAGCACAAGACTCTTAAATTACGTAGTCTTAAGATACCACTAGTATTTCTTGAATTACCATTATATCAAAAAAAATTCATATTATAAAAATGGAACACATCATAAAACTACATTAAGATGTAAAGAACTAGAATTCTGTGCTAATAAACTAGAGGAATGTGTTTTACAACCATGGGCAAGCAAATCTTGTTGGAATAAGATTATAACTGCAACTTTAGAATTATGTTCAGTAGCCCATACATATGCTAATTATTTAGAGTCAGTTAATCAGCATGTTCAGAGAATTCAATCTGCATCCATATCAGCTCGAAGTCCTGAAGAAAATAGTGAGCTTGAAATGCGATCTTCATATGCAATAAATACTATACAAAAAATTTATTTTTCAATTGCTGAACGAATTAGAGTAGCAAATGAATATGAAATTATATCACTTGAAGAATTCTTACCTGAAACTAAAGAGAAACGATTTCACTATTTATCAAATTTTGCTATTAATTCAACAATTATGTAATATCACTATCATCATAGAAATTACTTAGGAACATTAAATTTTATTTGAAAAATTTCTGAAAATTTTGAATTACGAGATGAAACAAAAAATGCACAAGCAATAATTCGAACACAATCAATGCTACCTTAATTCTTTATATGGTATATGAGAAGAAATATTTTTGCAAAAGTAAATATTTAATTATATAATTTATAAGCATTAAATTTTAAATATAATTTGCTAATATTATTTAATTTATAAATAGTATGCATTAATTACAAAAGTTACTCCAAGTATATTACAATATCTTTATTATGACTTAGTTGGTGATTCAAGTACAATAGATAATTCACTTTCTGCTGAAATAAACAACGAATAAGAATTATGCTTGAGCTTGGAGATCCAGAAATTATTACAGATATGCGTATAAATAATGGATTTAAAGGAACTAAGTTTGATGAATTTTGAGATAAAATGGCATACTATTTTGAAGAAATTCTTTTATTTGTACAAGAAAGATGCCATAATAATATGCTTTACTTACCAAGCTTTATTTCTGTTCGTGATTTAAGAGAATCAATTATTGAACGTTTAGAAAATAAATATAATGAGCATCCTCTTTCTAATAATTATTTAATACTATCTGATCAATAGATTTCTTATCAATTTTGTCCAAAAAATCTCTGGTATAAAACAAGTGCACAATATACAGGACGTTTTCAAATTAAATACATGGTGCAAACTCAACAATTAAGAAAATCTCATGTTGATATATACTATTGTCAAGCAATTTTCAAATACATTCGCCAATTTTCATCAAAATATAAAAAGTATACTTGCCTTATTTTTGCAGATGATAAATATAAAATACCAATTGGTGAAGGTGTACCAACTAGCACTGGAGTTCGAAACAAAAAAAATAGCAACATTAACTCAAACAAAACTTTCAGCAGCTGATCATGATTTTACAAAACTTTCAATTACTCCTTCTGTATCTTTATTTGCTAAAATTCCAGATGATTCAATCCAATCATTTTATGCTAAACAAGTTTATATTTTATTAAAAGATACTATATTTCAGGCTAGCTCTGCTCTTAGACATGCTACTGAATTTTATGATTTAATAAAGCAATATTATTTAAGTACAGATTTACTTTCAGAAATAGGTATAGTTTATACAGATGGAGGTCCTGACCATCGATGTAATTTTGGTTCTGTTCAAGTTTCACTTGTTGCACTTTTTTTAAATGGAGATTTTGATTTAGTTATTGCTGCACGTACAGCACCTTATCATAGCTGGGCAAACCTTGCTGAACGAATCATGTCTATTCTTAATCTTGGTCTTCAGAGAGTTGCACTTCAGCGAGAACAAATGTCTAATAAGTCAGAAGATATTTTTTAAAAATTATATACATTAGATTCAATTCGCAAAGAAGCACAAAAAAATTCTATCTTAAAATGTGAATTACAAATTTCAATTGATAAAGTACAAAATATTTTATTTGATCGAATTAGACAGTTAAAATTGCATGATAATTACTTTGAAATAAATAATCCAGCACAAGAAGAAGAAATTGATAAATTTTTTGAAGTAATAAGTTTTTTATTTTAATTTATTATTTATATTATTTATTTATATTTAATTATTTTATTATAAAAGATAATAGCCCGAATTGATTCTAAATTAGATAAATCTATGACTACAATGAATCAATTACAAAAAAGAGAACTTTATCAAAACTTTATTAAAAGCTATTGTCGAATTAGAAATTATATGTTTCAGGTATTATTAATATATAATAAATTATTACTAATTTTATTAATTATAACTAAGTAATATTACTGTGTATATAGATAATAAAATGCAATAAACATGAATACAAAATATGCAAAAAAGTTAGAATACTACAAGAAGATTTTCAAACTTTATCTTTTATTCCAGATCCTGAACCATTAGAAAATAGCAAGTATTAAAATTTTATTTATTATTGCTGTTTACTAAAAGTTTATTTATTTAGTTAATAATATATATAATTAAATTAGTATTTAATTAGTTGCATAATATTAGTTAGATAAACTATTAAAATAATTATAGATTGCTAGTAAAGTAATATAAATACAAATTATATATTATTAAAATATTTCTATTAATTAAGTTATAAAATTTATTAGATAAAGACCATTATAAAGATTTTGATAAAATTTATAGCAAACCAACATCAGAAAGATTTTACTCTTCAGCAATGAATACAACTATTAATGAAGAAATAAATGAAAAAAAACCAGGCCAATTTATTAATTCAAAAATTCAATATACAATTTTACGTGAACACTGTAGTAAAATATGATGTGTTTATAGTAATAACAATTTAACAAATGAAGAAGAAGCCAAATTTAATCTACACTTGATGGTTTATGTTATACATGTGGATCACAATTGCTACCAGAAGATCATGAACTTTCAGATCAAATAAGCATTAGACTAAATCTTACATATGATTCTCCAATTGAATCAACATATTTTTCATGGCGACTTAAAAAATTTGATGTTTGTTATTGGTGTAGAGAATCTGAAAGTCTTATAGAACCATTAGACATACTAAAAGATAAATAGAAAATTATATATCCATTATGTGAATATTGCAAAAATAATGGAAAAACATGGCATAAAAGAACACAAAAAAAAATTATTTCATCAAATAATGATAGTGAAGAAGAAAATAATGAAGGTAGTAAAAACAAAAAAAGCAAAAAAAGAAAAGTTTAGCTATTATAACCTAATTTTTTAACCGATTGCCAATAGATTATTCAGCACAGATATAAAGTTGGTAATTCAGTTACTTCTTGGGTATTTGCTTAAGTCGAAATGATGTAATAGCACACTATAGCAACTATATTATGTATTAAAAAAATTTAAATAAAGTTTTATATTTGAATGCTAATTAAATTATGTAAAACTTTAAATTAATTTTGCTCGTATGAACCTGATTTAGGTTCGTTCGAACCTGATTTAGGTTCGTATAAACCTGATTTAGGTTCGGTCGAACCTGATTTAGGTTCGGTCGAACCTGATTTAGGTTCGTTTGAACCTGATTTAGGTTCATTTGAACCTCGTTTAATTTTAATATTTGTTTAATTTTTTCCCCACCCCCATACAAATTTTAAAAAATAACATTAAACGAAACTTTAATTGCAAATGGCCTAATTATAATATATACTAGTGGAATGATCTGGTATTGTAAAATATTTTTTTATATGTTGCATACTGGGTAAAAAATCAGTCATGTAATATCGGTTCCTCCTGTTGTAAAAACATTGAATCTATTTATATATCGTTATTAAAAAAGTTTTTAATATAAAGTTTTTTTACCGGGTATTCGGATTGTGTTTCAAAATTAACATCCTGACTGCTATGTCATTAAAAGTTAGTTGGCAATATGAAAACTGATAGTATAACTACTCTGTATAATATTATTTTTATTTCAGATAATATACTAGCTTATAAATTTTATTTATAAAAATAAAATATATATATATTTTTATCGTTGAGAATTTTCCAGTATGAACTGCACTATACTGAGAACAAGAAACATTGTGTGTAAGAAATATAAAATAATTCTATTTAATGCATTATTGAAGAATCTAAGCTAGAAAAACATTAAAATTGCTATACACTAAACTAATAATTTTCTAACAAAATACAATATATTCATGTCTTTATATACATTTCATTCTTTTAAAAGCTAACTTATAAATTATTCTTTAGCTCTTCTTGTACGAGTTATGCGACTGTGTTCACAGATAGAATAATCTATAACATATGATGATGTTTGTCAGGTTCAATAAAATTTCACTTTTTCAATTAATATCTTATGACGAATTTGCATATATTATGTAAAGTTTCCTATCAAAAAGACATGATTAAAAAATTCATAAAACTATCACCAGAATGTAATTAATAAGATATACTACTTCAACACGTAACAAAGATGTAATAAGCTTCTCTATGACTGGCAAGCAATCAATTGATGTAGATAGTTTGATTTTTTGTAATAAGCCTAAACGCCAAATGCCTTTGATTTCCAGTCCAGTCCATATATATTATAATTGTAATCTATAATCAAATATATCAGGACTATATAATAAAAATAATATGATGAAAAAAAATATTGAACCTACTATACGTATGTACACCAAGGGTAAAGAGCTTGTGAAATTAGGTTAGTTCTACACCATTGTTTTCAATGCCTTCATTGATCAACACATCTCTTAGTGAAACAGCCAAATCAACCTTGTCCATCTATTTTTTTGCTTTTATTGCAGAAGGGAGGCCCCCAGATCTTAATCTAATTAATATCTTAAATTGTTCTTTGCTAATTCTAAAATCAACCTTTTGACCAATTAGGCTTCTGTCTGTGGGTTTAGTTTTCAAGTTTGTGATTATAAATGATGTGAGACCTTGGATCTCACCTCTTTGTATTATAATTAATAGTAAATGAATAAGATTAACAAATATATAGACAACAAATATATGATAAAATCTTACTCTTCATAATGATAAGTGTGATTAAAAGTTAATATCCCTTTGATAATAATGTTTGTAAAATTATTTCCAAATGTGGCTTCAGATATTGGTAATTGTAAATATTAAAGGTTGTATGCATTATTTAATTTAAAATTATTAAATATTATAAAATAGATGATATATGCTCATTTTCTGACTGCTATTTCCTCATTATCCGAAATTATAAAGGTAACAATTTAGTATTTTATTAGTTGTAAGTATATATTAATAGTAAATTGTCACCCAATATAATGTCGAATAAATTATTGTAGGAGAAATAACCAGGAAGAAAATAATTTGTAACTAAATAAGTAATATACTTACTAAGTTTGAATGAGTCATCTAATTGCATTTATTTTAACATTCTCCTACATATAAATAAAGATAATTAGATCTACATTTTTATAAAAAATTAACACAAAATATATATATATACTGTGTTTAAAGTTAGCATCTGCTTAAAGTTGTAACTTCAAACATGATATATATACTTTAATTACACAGCTCTCAATATCAGTAATTAGATCATAAGAATTCTTCACCAATATTTAGTATAAAAAAAGTAAATAAATAAATACACTAAATAAAAAGCAATGCTAAAAATCCACAAACCTTGGTGATTTTGTCTATGAGCTCATATAAGGACATCTCTTGTTCATCATTTAAATTACTTAATTTTACATTATTGTT